TACGAGGAACAGGGCTTTCAGACTTGCCAGAGTCTCTGCCCCGAGCGGTGGCCCTAACCGTCCCGGCTTGCCACACCCTGATGCTTTATTAAAACAAGGTCAGATTACATGGAGTCAGCAAAACAGTACATGAGGAAGGGCCCAGCCAGGTCTACTACAAAAGCATGATTTTGCGTGGAGTACGTTTGCACTGTTTTGCGTTTCCATTAGCAACCTGTTTCCATAAACACAGTGTGCTCGTTCATGTTACTGCACTGATGTTCGGGAATACAATCTGCCTTATGTTCGTAGTTTGATCGCCGGTTTACAATTTAGCATTCGGTGCGGCAATCCTGGGTTCCCCAGCTTGTTCCCGAACATTAGCATCAAGCTACTGCTGAAAGGCTGGGTTACCATTCAAACCCTACGCTAGGCATCCGATTACACTGCCCATCCTTGTTGAGATGCTGACAGGACTCTAAGGGAACTTTCTCCCCTTACAGCGACAATAGCCTTCTATGCTTTTCTCAGATGTGGCTGAATTCACAACCCCGGCTAAGGCCTTCGGCGCTCATGTCATTATAACTTCCACTCCAAAAACACTCCAACGAGGAGGCGCTTGCTCAGTTACAGTGGCATGTACCGCGTTCGATTTTGCCCTTTTTAAAGCCATGTTGGCATATCTCCATGTGAAACTGACGAGGCGCATCAGCTCCCAGCAGACGAGCCAGAAGCGAACTGGCTCCTGGCACCAGACCTCCCTCACTACAGGGAATACGTGTGTTTTCAGATTACATTCTGAGATAGCAGAATTCAGAATAGGGTCACAGGGGCAACAGCTCAAGTAGGGGACACTAAACTTCCCTTTCCCGGGCCACATCTACCATCTCTGACTGTGGGATTCCAAGGCGCTCCTAGGCCTGGCCGTGCCTGGAACACCTCCCTAGAGAAGCACCCAGGGGGCATCATTACCAGATGCCCAAACCACATCAACTGGCTCCTTTCGATGCAAAGGAGCAGCGGCTGTACTCTGAACTCCTCACGAATGGCTGAGCTTCTCACCCTTTCTCTAAGGGAGACGCCAGCCACTCTCCTGAGCAAACCCATGTTGGCCGCTTGTACCCGTGACCTAGTTCTTTCGGTCATGACCCATCCTTCATGACCATAGGGGAGGGTGGGAATGAAGATTGACCGTTTGAGAGAGATTGAGAGCTTTGCCTTCCGGCTCAGCTCTTTTTGTCACAACGGTGCGGTAAAGCGAGCGCAGTATCGCCCACGCTGCTCCAGTTCTCCATTTCAGGACGAAAAGCGCATTGTTGCTCTTCAATCCTTGGTTCGACTATCGGCTGAACCCTCCTTTCCAGCACCTCCGAGTAGACTTTACCAGGGAGGCTGAGTAGTGTGATACCCCTGTAATTGGCACACACTCTCTGGTCCCCCCTTTTTGAAGAGGGGTACCACCACCCCGATCTGCCACTCTTGGCACTGTCCCAGACTGCCACTCAATGTTGAAGAGGCGTGTCATCCAAGACAACCCCCCAACACCCATTGCTTTTAGCATCTCTGGACGGATCTCATCAATCCCCGGGGCTTTGCCAGTGCGGCGTTGTTTGACTACCTCAGGGACTTCCACCAGGCAAATTGACAATGATCCCTTCTCTGCCTCTACCAAAGAGGGAGTAGTAGTTGGATTCAGGAGTTCCTCACAGTGTTCCTTCCACCACCCGATAACCTCCTCAGTTGCGGTCAACAGGGTCCCATCTAGAGATGGGTATCGTTGGGTTTTCCGATACCCTAACCCGATACTTTTAAAACGATAATGGTGCCTAAACGATACCTGAACCAATCATTTTTTAATTTAAAAAAAGCACAAAAGCAAACAATAATTGAAATGTGTTTTTATATCGTCAAGGAAAATTGTATATACTGTATATTATATCTACAGATATAATGTATAAAAAACACATGACTTCAAACTTTTCAACTTCCAATTATGAACAATACATTAACGGTTTACAGTTTAATTACAGTGCCCTACACTGTGCCCTTACAGTTTCCCCTCTGTAAGAGCCAAACCTGTATATATTGGTTCATTGGAATTTGGGGAATATTAATCATTTAATTTTAGATTTCTGCTCAATGTGCAGGAACTAAAGATGAGTAACATATATTGAAAAACATTTGTTAGATTGACGCTTCGTCTCAAAGTACTGACGTCATGATGGCAGCAGGTGCAACACAGAAGCAGCATTAGGAACGAGAGCATATAGTTCTACCGTGTGACACGCGTTCCTGCGTAAAATAAAGACGAAAAAAATTAAACGCTCTCCTGTGATTCGCGTAAGGAAATGGAGTCACGTGTCTGCAGCTCAATTCATCTTAACGCCGCTACACCCTCGGTTTAATACTCGGTGGTCCGACGGGAGAAGACGGTCGTTGCAGACTCACGTGTCTGCTGGTGGGCGCGTGCTGAACTGTGTGCGCGCACGTGTCTGCCTATCGGGGGGAAAGTGTCAGACTTTAATAACAGAGGAAACACTGACTTAAATAGATTGAAATAGGAGGCACTTGGCTAGTTAGCTGCTGTGAGGACACTATCATCAGATTGTGTAAAGTTTTTCGCGTGAGACACCAAACCCGGAAGGCCTGCTTCTTCAGTCGGACGGCTTCCCTGACCACCGGTGTCCACCACGGGGTCCGAGGGTTACCGCCCCTTGATGCACCTAAGACCTTGAGGCCACAACTCACTGCTCACGGCTTCAGCAATGGAAGTTTTGAACATAAACATACAGGAATGTGAGAGAAGCTCCGCCGGAGGTGTGATTTGAAAATCTTTTGGACCGGGGCCTCCTCCAGACATTCCCAGTTCACTAAACACTTGGGTTTACCAGGTCTGTCCTGAGTCTTCCCCCAGCTCACCACCAAATGGTGATCCGTTGACCGCTCTGCCCCTCTCTTTACCGGATTGTCCAAAAATCTCGGTCCAAAAGATTCTTTGAATCTTTATTGTTGGAATGCTGCTTCAGCATAGTATTGTTCTTCGAATCTTTGTCAACATCGTCGTGTTCTTCCTTCATGTGGCACCTTTTCAACTTCTTCACTTTCAGCTATTGAAACCGTTCAAATATTAAAATATTCGGCTCTTTCAGGAGATTGGGGCTTTGAGTTTACAACTTCAAGCTCTTATGCTTTAATTTATATAAATCAAATTTATAAACCGTTTTTTAACATGGTTTTCTATTGGAGTTCATTTTCAAATCCTCTTCATCAAATTTCAAATTTTTCTGCTCTGCCAATCTTTCTGCTGCAGACAGCATTTAAACTTTAAAAGTATAAACAATTTAATAAAATAAACAGTTTGTTGATATGTTTTACTTTTTTAATAATCACTGATTATGTTTCATTAGTTTTTTGTCTGTCTGCACTCTTAAAATTGCATGTGTGCTGTTACCATGGCAACTCAGACGCACTGCACACAGCTGTTCCGTATTAGCTGATTACAGCAGTCTGACAGGACCTGATTGTTATAGCGGACATTTCAGATCCTGCTAGAGGCGACCGTGGCACATGGAGTAGATGGGTCGGTGGTTCGAGACCGGGGCGCCTTCACCGGCTCCCACTGTGTGGGATGAGTCAAATGCAGAACAATTTCCCCAAAGGGATCAAAGGATGCTTTCTGCTTATAACTGGATTTTAACACTGACTATCTTTTGGCTAATAACTTTAAACTAAAACATTTTTATCAGTCTTGCTTGGCGAGGGGCATTACCTTTTGTTGATAAAATGTTCCAGACTTTTCGCTCCCAGAAGTCTCAATCTTTTTTCGCCTCTTCAACGCTCCCTTCCGCCATAATTAAAAGAAAAAACGTAGTTTTTTTCCTCGGTGCATGTAAACAATGGAAGCAATAGCGCCCTCCAGCACTTCCTGTAGTGCATTGCAATGCTGCATGAAAAAGACCAGTAGCTCTGAATCTTTTTAGAATATACGATAATAATCTGCGTCAACGATTTTTCATAGTCGATTACTTCGACTAATCGTTGTTTGAAGTATTGAAGCCCGTGTCCTTTTCAAACTCAACTCCCTGGCAGGCAGTCCAATATGCACTAAAACGTCTCCAGTATCCTGTAGCACACTAAAGCTGTTCAAGATAATTAAGGAATCTCACCGTAGCTGAAAATAACCGTAGAATAAAATCAGGAAAGTAAAAAAACACAGTACAGTACTCATTGGTAAATGTATACAGTATATGCATCTGCTTTACTGAGCCTTAAAAGCAGACCTATTCTAGTGTTCTTTCTATCTGCTCTGTCTACCAGGCTTGTACAAATTCAGTGGGCACTGTTGCTATGGCAACAGCAACCTGTCCCATTAACGCCTTTAGGTAGAGCAGTATTCCAAAAGGATCTAAAAAAAACACACTGTGTCTAACGAAGCAGCTGTATCACACAGTTATTGTGCTTCACATCTATGGCTAAGGGATGTCTTTAGCCATAGCGTCACATTGCTACAGCAGTCTTTTGGTAAATGCACTCGAGTCACAGAGAGAATGACGTGCAGACGTATGTACTCCCATTCACACTTCAGTGCTCCCACTCTTTGAGGCTAAATATGGAGTGGTGCACTAATTCTATGTCAGCAATGTGCATGTCCATCATCGACAGCTGCACAAACACACATATTCACAGAGACTTGCTGTGCTTAAGACTTGAATTCTATTTCAGTGGATATGGCGCCAGTAGTGGATTTAATTGTGATACTTGTGAACCTTTTGCCTTCTGCCTCAAACTAAATAACATTAATTCAGGAAGTGCAGTTAGTAACAGTGTGGGCTCCATATATCTCTGACAGAGTGGCAGCGGGACTAAGGATGGTTGGTTGAATTTATTGTTTGTAGAGATGTACAGTTTGTACATTTGTATACACATTGAGTGTGTGTGTGATGTCACAGAGACCAATCACGTGGCTGAAATACCTCTGCCAGAGTAGATAAAGATAGAGGGAGGAGAGAGAGAGAGACTTCCCAGTCAGTGCGACTCTCTCGCTCTACACAACCTCAGGCTGTTATGTTGTAGGGCTGTGAGAGTGAGCTTCTCTGTAGCACCTTCTCGGGGACGCACACATCCGGTGAGTAGACCGCTGTATTCATCTCGCTGTTTAAATTAGCCTAAAAACATCCATTTGGAGCTGAGGACTTTAAATGTAAATGCTCCTGTCAGATCAGAGATTACGTGAATGTTCGAGTGATTGCAGAGGTAACTTGTTTACAGAAGCGCAAATGAGCCAAGAGGGTCTTTTGATTCGGTAATCTTTTAATTCCTTTAAGCTGCTGTCTGCTTGCTGCCTCCTGGCAAAGAGACTTTTACTCACACACACATTTAAACAGCGGCTACGGAAACCTTACATCTCAAGCTATTTTCATGATATTAAGACACTGAAATGAACATTGTCAAGCTGCCAACCAATGTGCCAGAACCACATTGGTGCATTCCATGCTGTGGTTCTGGTCCCCTTCGTGGCCCAATGTGGTAGAGCTGGGACGAGGACTCTGAGTGAGTACATAGCTCCGTTTCACACCTCGGCCCAGATCTGAAAACTCTCCTGTTACTAACATGAACTACATATTTTAGCGTAAGAGATTCAGCAGAAGAATCTAGCAGTCCCTTAATTAAAGGAAGTTAACAATTTAGCTAGATGCTTTTGATTTGTCTGGTTAGCCTGGCTTAGCGCAAAGGTAAGTCGGACATACGTAGCGTATCTCTGTTCAACACAAACAGCCCTACCAATGGGTGCATTTGTCTAATCCGTCCCCAAATATATAAAATAAATGTTTATAGAAGTCAAGGGGCACCAGCTAAGAAGCAAGATCATTTTCTTAGAAGTGGATCAAGAACAAACCAGGGCTGATCATCCATTTACAAAACACAGCTCCAAATTAATGCTAATGTGACTGCTGGATGTGGAAATACTCTTAAATTCTCCAAGTGATAATCTGACAAAGGCCAAAACACATGTTACATCTGATATAACTATTGGAAAAGAAGTGACTTTGTAGAGTTTCTGAAGTAGTATGTCTTGAAGAATCCCTAGCAGCTCATCACATGCATCCACCTGATAACAAGTTGAAGAGTCACAGGCAAATGTAGACTTTATAAATCATTTCTTAGCAAACCATGCTGTAGATTTGTGAAGGCGTCTGCTGTTAGCCTTTGTGCTGTTTATCCACCAGAGATCAGATTAAGGGATTAGAAGTCAGGAGGACCTTGCTGAATGTCCAGACAGACAGGAAGGTATTGGGGTCATGTCATTGGGATCCGTGTCTGGCGTGGATCATGGGCAGAGCACTCACCTGAACCAATTTTACTCCACTCAATTGGCAGAAGAACTCTTAGCAAGCCTTTCAATGTAAAATGCCTTAAAGCCTACTGCATTCAAGTTTAGCTATTAGTATCTGTATCACTTCAAACTGAAACACCAAAACACTGCAGATCACTGGTTGTTCAGGAAGGAATGTTACTGAATCCTAATTAGGATACTATAATAGCCAAGCTATATCAATAGGGATCATTCTCATATGGCAGCCCAAACGGAAAGCCATTGGTCAAATGAATACAGACGTTCCTACCACAGAACCAGGGCTTGACATTAGCATCTGCCAAATAGCGGGTAAAGCAGTCTCTCTCTCACTAGCCACTTTGGCAGGTGGTATTCTATATATATATATATATATATATATATATATATATAGAGAGAGAGAGAGAATACTATATATTATTGTAGTGTAATGCTGGTTTTTAAAGTGTCACGAGTGCATCATCCACAAACCCAGAACGCTCCGTTCATTGGTGGCAGTGGTGGTTCTTGTGCACAGACTACGGACTGTGACGAGTTTCCCCTCTGTCAGGGTGAAGACCTGTTTAACAGCTCAGGGCTGTTTGGCAGACGGTCTGCCAGCAGAGATGTTCATGGGGAACCGCCTGCTCCGTTTTCTGGCAACGGTAGCCAGAGTTTCCTTGGCTGGATGAGACCGTCCATTAGTCTTCTACAAACACATCTAACATAATAAACTCATTGCAGGTTCTGAAGCCTCACACATTGACCGTGAGACAGACTCATTTCAACCAGTTCACACGCCACATTTGTTAAACCGCCTCGGCCACCGTCTGTTCGTTGCTAAGCAACATAGACGCGCGAACACGGGTGACAGGTGGAAGCTTTTGATACAACTTGAGGAGACCTGCTTAGTGCAAAGCCAGGGGTAGTAAAACCTGCAGGGCAAACACAAGAGAAAAACTGGTGATGAAAAAGAAAAGTGGAGGTCGAGGCGAGAATGGCTGGTTTATGATCCAGACAAGAACATAATGTATACAGTGCATCCGGAAAGTATTCACAGCGCTTCACTTTTTCCACATTTTGTTATGTTACAGCCTTATTCCAAAATGGATTGAGTTCATTATTTTCCTCAACATTGTACACACAACAATCCATAATGACAAAGTGAAAACTGTTTTTTGCAAATTTTTGAACGAAAACATAACATGTACATAAGTATTCACAGCCTTTGCTCAATACTTTGTTGAAGCACCTTTGCCAGCAATTACAGCCTCAAGTCTTCTTGGGTATGATTCCACAAGCATGGCACACCTATTTCTGGGCAGTTTCTCCCATTCTTCTTTGCAGAACCTCTCAAGTTCCATCAGGTTGGATGGGGAGCGTCGGTGCAGCCATTTTCAGATCTCTCCAGAGATGTTCAATGGGGTTTAAGTCAGGGCTCTGGCTGGGCCACTCAAGGACATTCACAGAGTTGTGCCGAAGCCTCTGCTTTGTTATCTTGGCTGTGTGCTTCGGGTCGTTGTCCTGTTGGAAGATGAACCGTCGCCCCAGTCTGAGGTCCAGAGCGCTTTGGAGCATGTTTTCATCGAGGACGTCTCTGTACATGGCTGCATTCATCTTTCCCTCAATCCTGACGAGTCTCCCAGTTCCTCCCACTGAAAAACAACTCTAGGAAGAGTCCTGGTGGTTCCAAACTTCTTCCATTTCTGGATGATGGAGGCCACTGTGCTCATTGGGACTTTCAATGCTGCAGAAATCTTTCTGTACCCTTCGCCAGATCTGTTCCTCGATACAATTCTGTCTCTGAGGTCTACAGATAATCCCTTGGACTTCATGGCTTGGTTTATGCTCTGATATGTCAGCTGTGATACCTTATATAGACAGGTGTGTGCCTTTCTCAATCATGTCCAATCAACTGAATTTAGGACAGGTGGACTCCAATCAAGTTGTAGAAACATCTCAAGGATGATCAGTGGAAACAGGATGCACCTGAGCTAAATTCTGAGTGTCATGGCAAAGGTTGTGAATACTTATGTCCATGTTATGTTTTCATTCTTTATTTTTAACAGATTTGCAAAAAACAATTTTCACTTTGTCATTATGTGTTGTTGTGTGTAGAATGTTGTGGAAAATAATGAATTTAATCCATTTTGGAATAACAAAATGTGGAAAAAGTGAAGCGCTGTGAATACTTTCCGGATGCACTGTAGCACTGATTGTAGGACGTACGGCAGTGAAAAGGGTGAGAAGTGTCTATGGGCTAAGTAGCTTTGGAAACCCAAAACAGTATGTGCACACCAGCGACTGTGCTGTTGTCTAAATACTCCATACTTAAAGGAACCCACAGACAGGTTTTGGCTCCACTAGTATGTTCCAGCAGCATTTGTTATGGACTCTTCTCCCTGGTGTCGCTGTTCATACCGGGCATTGCATCAGTCAAGGTTAAAGTTCCAAGTTTGTTCTGGAAACCTAACCTAAATTAGTTTGAGAACACCTCCAAATCATGTCTGTACCCAGTTGTTTACTGCAGTTTACAATTGGAAACATTATATAGTCAAGGTATCGATGTCTGTCTGTTAACCCATTGTGACTGACAGGTGTTGAGGGTTTTCTTACTACCACTGGGTCTTTTAAAAGAGCTATGTGTCACCTGCTGTGAACACGCATGCAGTCTTCACAGTGTCAGGTTGGTCCAGCTTTGAACCAGGCAGCGCCTCTATTTTCAGCCGTGTGGGATCAGGCCTCCATAGTGTCAGCAGGTGGATGGACTAATCGGCAGCATGACTAGCATTAGCCTCCCCTCATTCAAAATTCTTTCTGGAAATGGCTTCTCAGAGATTGTGCCACACAAGGGTGCCCCCCTAATATATTGGTAGAGGAGACCGCATACACACATATTTCACACTGCACTCATATTCTATATATTTGCTTGATTTTGGTTCAGGTTTTCAGGTGACACACAATGATAAAAACCTCTCCTGATTAAAAGCATACGCTACAGAAACCCAGACCAAAAGTGGAACACGGTATCGTATGCTTCTCTTTTACTAGGATTGGATGATTATTCCTTGTGTGTTCAGAGACTGAAGGATGAATCTGTAAACAGACATACGAGTTGTTGGGAGTGGCTCTGAATTAATATCTGTACAATGTGCTGCTAATTATCACCGGGGAGACCTCCTCCTTCTTACTTACTAAAATAAATGACCAAATCTTTGGATTTACCAGCCGAGAAAAAGATTCAAAGTCCCGTTTATGAGCTGGATCATTACCTTGGGTATGTTGACCAAGTAGGACAGTGTCCTTTTTAACTAACCAACACACCTGTTGAATGTGCGTCTGAAAGCCAACAGTGGCAGTCTGCATCCTGTATGCTGGTTTAAATCTACTATAGTGCATCATATCATATAAGATCATTATTTGTTTGTAGCAAAAACAGCTGGTTCATTGTGTTGATCCAAGAGGCTTTATAAAGCACAACTATGTACATTGCAGCGATGTACATTTGAATGACTTACTAATGGTGTCATTCTTCATTTGATAACACCTGTGTCTAATGGGTTTGCAAATTCTGGGCACTCGCTAAGTATAAATATAGTTTTAAGTCTTCTTCAATACAGCATGATGGTCCATTCATGGTCAAACAGACCATAGAGCAGATTGAAAAGTTTCTAATAGACCATGAAGCTTTAACGGTTGCTTACTGTGATTTAAAGGTTGCTATCAAGCGTTGTGCTGTCTAGGGGTTCGTGTTTTCAGTTAATGAAAAGGAATTGGAATATTGTACTTAGCGC